GTCAAGACAGTTTCTTTAATAAATGGTGTTGGGGGGACCGGTTTAGCTCAATGGATAGAGCGTCGGCTTGGGGACTGAAGGGGTTCGATTCCGGTCAAGGCATGTACCTTGGTTGCGGGCATATCCCCAGTAGGGGTGTGCAAGAGGCAACTGATCGATGACTCTCTCTCATCGATGTTTCTAACTTTCTATCTCTATCCCTTCCTCTCTGTACAAAATCAATAAAATATATTTAAAAAATATATATAAATAAAATAAATGGTGTTGGGAAAATTGTACAGACACATGCAAAAGAATGAAACTAGATCACCAACTTACACCATTCATAAAAATAAACTCAAAATGGATACAGGACTTAAACATCAGATGGGAAACCATAAAAATAACTAGAAGCATCCACAGGCAGCATAATCTCAGACGTATGCCTAAAGAACTTCTTCACTGATACTACCCCTAGGGCAATGGAAGCTAAAGAGAAAATAAACAAATGGGACTACATCAAAATAAAAAGCTTTTTTACAGCAAAAGAAACCATCAACAAAACAACAAGAAAGCCCACTGTGTAGGAGAACATATTTGCAAATGATACCACTGATAAAGGTTTAATCTCCAACATCTACAAACAGCTTATACAACTAAATAAAAGGAAGATGAATAATCCAATTAAAAAATGGGCAATGGACCTAAATAGAACATTTTCAAAAGAAGACAGAAGGAAGGCCAAAAGGCACATGAAAACATGCTCAAAGTCACTAATTATCCGAGAGATGCAAATCAAAACAACAATGCGGTACCATCTCACACCTGTCAGAATGGCCAACATCAACAAGTGAACAAACGACAAGTGTTGGCTAGGTTGCGGAGAAAAAGGAACCCTGGTGCACTGCTGGTGGGAATGCAGACTGGTGCAACCACTGTGGAGAACAGTGTGGAGTTTCCTCAAAAAACTGAAAATGGAACTCCCATTTGACCCAGTAATCCCACTTCTAGGAATATATCCCAAGAAACTAGAAACACCAATCAGAAAGGATATATGCACCCCTATGTTCATAGCAGCACAATCTTCAATAGCCAGAATTTGGAAACAGCCTAGGTGCCCGTCAGCAGATGATTGGATCCAAAAAGGATGGTACATCTACACAATGGAATACTATGCTGCCATAAAAAAGAAGGAATTCTCATCATTTGCAGCAACCTGGATGGAATTGGAGAACATCATGCTGAGTGAAATAAGCCAATCAATGAAAGAGAAACACCACATGACCTCACTCATTTGTGGATGATAAAGAACATTATAAACTGATGAACCAAAAAATAGATATAGAGACAGTATATCAACAAGTAGACTGTCAAATTACAGCGGGGAGGGGAGGAAGATCTGGGAGAGATAATAGATCAACCGAAGGACTTTTATACATGCATATAAGTACAACCAATGGACACAAAACTCTGGGGAGGGAGGGGATGTGTGGGAGGGAGGGAGGGAGGGGGGCAAAAAAAATCAATAAAATATATTTAAATAAATTAATTAATTAATTAATTAATTAATTTAAAAAAATAAAATAAAGAATTCAGTCTTTTGTGTTGTTCTGTGAAGACTAAAAAGCTGTTTAGATGCAGTTTACATTCTGTGATGGAATATGACTTTCTTAATGAGGAGTTTAAATATTAATGAAGGCTAATTGATGAATAATTTTAACAAGCAAAGGCATTATCAGTTTGAAGCAAGCACTTAAAGGGTTGTGCATTCCAGCAGGTATTTGCATACTCGGTGGCATTGTCAAAAGGGTGGGAGAGGGAGGAGAGGAGTTGGACAGGCCATCGGGCAGGTAGTGAGGGCCGCTCCAATTAGACCAGACTGTCCAACTCTATTTGCTTTAATCCATTCTCATCCCAAGAAAGGTTTGAAGAGAACGTGTCTTTTTGTCTCGTGTGAGCTCCAGGCAAGCAGGTCTTCAATCTTGTCACCTACCCTCCCTCCCCAACCCCCGCCAAACCCTCCTTCCTGCCTACCGAGGCCTCATTTCTGCCATCACTGTAGGTTTTTCTGCTTCTACCTTTATGGTCTGCCCCCATCACACCCTATTTCTAACCACTAGTCTTTGCTGTCAGGCTGTGCAAGCAAATTTGTATCGGCAGCTCCCTCACAGCTCCCAGTGGCTTCATGGGATCTGGCTGCTGGCATCTGTCAATTACTGGCTCTTCCAGGCTGTCCAGCTGAGGAACACCCCACCCCCCACCTGCAACTCTCCTCACCCTCCAATGGATCTTCACAGAAACTGGGCACTGGCGAGAAGCAGAAAATATGTATCAATTGTCTGAAGCTTCACACTGATTGTTATTCTCTCCTAATCCTTTTAAATGTGATACGTGTTTAAATTAAGAGTAGCGGAGACAAAATGACTTGGGAAAATGATAATGTTGTGCTAGCCTGCTTCAGTGACATGGTAACTTGGTGAAGAAAATTGGCTGTCAGATTTCATCAGTGTGGTTGATGTGAATAGCTGTCATTCCCTGGCTGGCGTAGAGTCCGTCCCCCCCCCCACCCCCCAGGAGCGGATTAATGACCGAAGGATCCAGTCACCGCGTGTAGCAGCCTCACCTCCATGCATTGCTGACCTCCTACACTGCCTCTCTCTTCTGCTTTTCAGGAACCACGTGCTTGATTGCTCTACTCTCGGATAAAGACCTCACCGTGGCCAACGTGGGTGACTCCAGAGGGGTCCTCTGTGACAAGGACGGGAACGCCATTCCCTTGTCTCATGATCACAAGCCTTACCAACTGAAGGAAAGAAAGAGGATCAAGAGAGCTGGTGAGCTTGTGAACGCCTCCGAGCCCTGTCTGCTGTCTCGCCGGGTAGACAGGGTTCTTATTGGATAGCCCCTAGGGCATAAGAGGTTTAATTACTAGTGATTAGTAGCCTCCCACAGAGGCTGCTGCTGAAGTCGTGGAAATTGGATTTTGTAATATTGCCTAGCAAAAAACAAAAAACAAACAAACAAACAAACAAAAACAGCCACTGAATTCGTCCTTCTTCATGGTCAAGGATTCCAGAAGGGCCAAAAGAGCCCTTTGCTCATTTAAAAGCTAACGAGATCTTTGGGCCTTTGCTTGCATATCCCGCTTCCCTCCAGCCATGCCAGACTACTAACCTCTCTCCAAAGGAACAGTGTTTCTGATACCTCATGCTTTTTTTTTTTCTTTGTTTTAAATATATTTTAATTGATTCTAGAGAGAGAAGGAAAAATAGGGAGAGAGAGAGAGAGAAACATTCATGAGAAAGAAACATCGGTCAGCTGCCTTCCACACGCCTTCTTCTGGGGACCAAGCTCTCGACCCGGAATTGAATTGGTGACCTCTCGGTGCATGGGATGATGCTCAACCAACTGAGCCACACCAGCCATGGCTGATAGCTCATGCCTTTGCAAATGCCATTCTCACTGTCTAGTGGGTAGCAATTACTTGTCTTATAAGACCCAGCTTAAGGGTGTCCTTTCAGAAGCCTTTCCTGTCACACAGTACCACAGGCCCCCCGCGGCTGGGTTAGGCGCACCTTCGTCCCATCCTCTGTGGACCTCATGGTTCTCCTTTTACAAAGTATGGCTCTCTTGTCTGTCTCGCCTTCACACCTGGGAGTTCCTTGAGGCAAAAACATGGTCTGTTCATTTCTCCAAGCACCTTGCTCAGTATCTGATACAAGCAAATACTTTAGGGAGTGGGAATCCTCCTCCCCCCCCCCTTTTTTCTTTTTCTTCACAACTAATGGCTGGGGATATAAGCTTGCATTCTGGAATTGGGGTGGAGATGGAGAATTCAGTAGACAGCCTTCCTTTTTGGGATACCTATGTCCCCTCCAGCTTTTGTGTGACAGTTTTCTGCACCCAGTTGGGCCAGACCATATTAGTCTTTTAGTCTCCATTCCTGATGGTGTCTCCAACAGTGACACCAACAGCTATCGCAGGATCACTGTGTTGGGGGCCAAGCCTAGCAATTTACATGTGCTTCCTCTTTCCCTACCTTGTGACAGCGATTCTGTCCTCCTCACTTTACCACCAAGAAAACGGAGCCTCCCAGAGGACACCTGGCTAGTGAATGGTGAAACCAGAGTTGAGACCAGGACTGTCTGACTCCAGAGGCCCGTGTTCTTGCCCATTAGACCACACTTCCTGAAATGTTCTCAGATACCTACAGCCCATGAAGCTCACTCTGTCCCAATCATCACAACTGGAAATCATTCCTTCCTCCTCCTCTGTGGGTGCCCGTCTCTCCTGCGAGAATACTACTTTGTGCCTGGAGCTATTGATAAACGCAGGTTTTCTTTCCTGCCAGACTGTCTAGTTCTTTAGAGAAAAGTCTGGATTTTGCACAACTTTATAGCCTACAAATCACCTTGCATGGAGTATGTATTTAATAACTTCCTGACAAGTATGTGAATGAACAAAGTTCTAATTACTTTGAAGAAAAGTAATAGTATGTACTATTGAGTGCATGGTACATTCAGGCACTGTTCTAAGTGATGTACACGGAATAACTCCTTTCTTTCTCACAGCTCAATGGAATAGGTACTATTATTGACCCCATTATTGCAGCCAAGGAAACTGAGGGTCAGAGAGATAGAGTTTCTCATCCAAAGTCACAGATAGCTGGAAATAACAGGCTAGAAATTAAATTCAAGCAGCCTGATACAAAAGCTGAGCCTTGAGACACTGGCGAGAAGCAGAAAATATGTATCAATTGTCTGAAGCTTCACACTGATTGTTATTGTTAAAATACATAGGGGTTTTTGTGGGGTTTTTTTTAAATCCTGATCCTATTTGGAGTACTGTTTTGAGAACTATAGAGGCATAACCAAGGATAGTCTCAAGCTAAATGATGGATTCCAGCGTTGTTTCTGGTCCCCAACCACCTGCCTTTTGCCACTCTCTTCAAATCCCCACCCCAATGCATTCTACTGTCAATCACTGAGCTGTCAAGGTGTCAAGTTAAAACTGATGCCCTCATACTTACCTGGCAGGGGAGATACCATGATCACGAAGGTGGTTTTCCCAGGGCGAGGCTTATCCATTGCACTCAGATGTGCTGACCCCTGCTATTTCCCCAAATGTGGGAAACTCAACTGCATAATTTGTTGTAGTAAGAGACTGCATTTGAAAAAAAAAAAAAATTTTTTTTAATAATAAAAAATAAAAACCTGATGCCCTTACACATACACATCTCCTACCCTCATTATTCTTATTGATATTTTCTTGAAGTCGTTTAACTTCAAGGATGAGGGCAGGAGGATCTACTGGTTGAGTGTCAAACCTCAAGCCATGCAGCAGGGGTACTGTTCCCTCCTGGCAGTGCCAGGGTGGGGCGAGGGGAGCACATGCGATATGTCACCTGCAACCAGTCGGCCTTCTGCACACGTGCCCAGACTGTGTATCAGGTGTGTGAGCTTTCTATTGTTGGTCAGGCTAATGATCTCATTCTCTTCCCAGGTGGTTTCATCAGTTTCAATGGCTCCTGGAGGGTCCAGGGCATCCTGGCCATGTCTCGATCCCTGGGGGATTATCCGCTGAAAAATCTCAACGTGGTCATCCCAGACCCAGACATCCTGACCTTCGACCTGGACAAGCTCCAGCCCGAGTTCATGATCCTGGCGTCGGATGGCCTCTGGGATGCCTTCAGCAATGAGGAAGCTGTCCGTTTCATCAAGGAGCGCTTGGATGAACCTCACTTTGGGGCCAAGAGCATAGTTTTACAGTCGTTTTACAGAGGCTGCCCTGACAACATAACAGTCATGGTGGTGAAGTTCAGGAATAGCAGCAAAACAGAAGAGCAGTGAACCCTTCGGGGCTCGGCTGCCGTAGACTAAAGGACTTTCAACACACTGGTCTCCTTTAATGTCGTGAAGCTGTGGCAGTGACGGTTAGGATCCCCCCTATCCCAGACGTGGGATGCCCCCTCCCTGGTGGTCTTAGGTCTGTACCCAGTGATGATGGAAAGAGGGCCGATGTTGAGAGGCTGCAAGATTGTTTTTTTCACGTCTCCCAATCCTCCCATCCAGCCTTCGAGATGTACAAGTAGCTAGTCGTAGACTCACACGTATGAAATGAATGGCGTAGGTGCCATGTGTTCTCCCTTTGAAGGTTCTTTTCAAGATTTCAGGATCCCTTACAGGGCCCTCCAGGCATCAGACTTTGGAGCAGTGAGCAGGGCAGGCTGCCCAGAGCTGCAGGAGATAAGGCCCCAGCGTCCCCTGCGCATCAGGGTGGCGGTTCTCTTACTGAGCGCAGAGCTGCCCTGAGAAGGCTTTCCCCTCCTGAGCCCAGGTTTCCCACTCCACAGAAACCAATTTGGAGTGCTTTGCTGTTCTGTGGCTGCTCTTGAAGGGAGGCTGCAGCAGCTACACAGCAGAAGCAACCTTTTCCCTCCTCCCTTTATTTCTTAAATAGACTTGTACACCATCTAGCCGGTCTTTGTGCCAGTCTTTGTGCGCTGATCCTAATCCTGCATGACCTTAACCTTTTGCTTACACCTTACTGTATGTAATAGGCAGCTGTTAAACTTCACAACTGGAAGCCACAATTTTTTTTGTCTTTTGTCACCAAGAAACCTATTAGGCAGAAGTCAGAAAAGCAAGTCGCAGTATCATAATTCCTTCCATCTTTAAGGGTAGATAGAGGGGAAATAGTGGCTGAATAAGTCACAGAGCCCCCTTGGGAAGTTGCTTGTTTGCATTGGGAGAGAAAGCTGGGGAGGTTACCATCCTGAATTGAGCTTCAGCTGCCAGATTTATGCCCTCCCTCTCTTCTCCTATCCTAGTAGCTTTCAAGTATCTTTCAAGGAATGTTCTGGGAGGCATCGGAACTGCATGAGTATTTCTCAAAACCCAGGCCAGAGTTCCCACCCACATTTTGGAGTTTGGTGGTAAACTGTGGGATGCGCTTTTCCATGGCCATGGAGAAGCAGGTAGCTTCCCCAGGCCAACCATTCAGTGACCAAAAAGCGGGTTGGGAATTCAAGCTCAAACCGGTATTGTAAGACAGCCCCGAGTTATTCTGGGGCCAGGCTTGCTGCTCTCTGTTTCCTATTTCCAAAGTCACATTTCCAATCTCAGTATTTTGTAAGTTAATTGACAGAAAATGCTCAGGCATCCTGTTGGCCTGAATGTGGTGGCTCAAGTAGCCAAACAGGACTTTCCTTGGATTCCCAGCTCTGTGTCTGAAATGCCAGGGTGTCCACCTGCCTCTGTCCTTTCTGAGTCAGCATTTGTCATTTTAGCTTCTCAAAGGCCCCGTTCGCTTTCTTCAGCTGGGGGGTTTTTCTGAAGCAGGTTCCAGAGAGAACCCGGGAGGATGAAAAGAGTCCCTCACGGTCACCAAGGACTGCAATCTGTCGATTCCTCCCAGCATTTACCTGTCTTTGACTCCAATGGGAATGAATAACAGTTTCCCAAGAGCTTTGATTACTTTCGTAAACTCTGACTTTAGAATTCCAACATTAGGATTAGAACCTTAATAAATTTTTTTAGCCATAGAGAGTTCTAGTACAAAATACCTATCACCATGTAGACTGAGCTCTTTGCCTAAGTAAGAGGCACTGAACAGTTGGATGTGTGTAATTGGGTTGGGGGTCAGGAGGAGAAATGTGGGGAACATGCTGACTGTGGTTAGTATGGGACCATCAGGCCAGGTGGTCCAAGTTTGCCTGGAGATTTAGGATATTCTAACTCCAGAGAGTTACCAAAGCCCATCATCCAACTCAAGCTCAAGAATAAGCTCTTTTATTTTATGGTACACAGTTAGTTTTCCTTTTTATTTTTAACTTAACTCCAAAATTCATAATCACAAAGAAAGATGTTTTTAAATGCCATGATCGTTGTTGTCCAAAACGAAAGTAGTATGGTTTTGGTGAAGATGAAGAAGAAAGGCTACTAAGTTAAATTAGTAAGTTAGTGTTGTTTGCTGCAGAACATCTCAGTAAGTGTGCTGAGGGCAGGAGTGCATGACTGCCCCCCAGCTGAGGTTTACATGGCATCTATGTTTTGCTTTGTAGAATTAATTTCTGACTTTAACCACATAGTAAGTGTATTTCCTATTCCCTTTCTCCCCTTTTTCCTCTGTAGATTTTTAAAAGATAGAAGTTCTAAGCAAAATAGCAGTTTGGTTAATACCTATGTCTATAAAATACTACAGTCAGAGTATTTTGCTCCCTTCCCCTGTCCTGGGGTGCGCGCTCGCTCTCTCTCTCTCTCTCTTTCTTTCTCTCTCCCTCCTTTCCTCCCTCCCTCCTCCAGCTGTTTGGGGCCTACAGAACCACACTTGGGGTGCACTGTGGCTCCTGGCTGCTCCCTTCTTCTAGGGACAGGGAAGTTGAATGTAGCCACTAGGGAAATTGAATTGAGCGTTTGCATGTGAAGCCTCCCTAAGCAGCACTGCCAAAGCTTTGGATCGTCCACCAAGGCTGCCCAGACTCCCCAGCCCGAGTTCTCCTTGCCAATAGCTACCATGGTGCCAAACCTGGGATGGCTTTTCAGTCTTTTGGAAATGAAGCTGGGAACAAATGACCACGTGCCATGAGCCCCCAGCAAGATGCCAAACCCAGGCCTCCTCCATGCACTGCTCTGCTACTGCTCCACTGGCCATTCTTAAAATGGATTGGGATTGGGGGGGTGTGGGGAAGGGGAGGTGGGGGGTGTTAAGGAAGGGGCATTTTTAAAAAATCATTGTATTTGCAATTCTCTAAAATGGAATAAATGATACTTACATAGAAAATTCCAAAGCTAGTTCCCAAGACCTGCATTTATTTAACGTAAACCATTAGCTCAGCTCTGAAGTTGTAGTTCCCATGCACATATCCACCAGTGGCCTCTTGAATCTTGTCTATGTAATACTCTTATTTCAGAGAGTGTTTTATAGAGTGAAGGGCATATGCAATCTGGATAAGTTTAAACAGGCCTTATTTCATACAACTTGAACGATTTCAACCCAGGTACAGGACTGCATGAGAGTAGTGGCATCATCATTTCAATCCCATCTAAGGTAATTTTAGGAAATTGATTACACTATTAATTGGGATATCTATATCACTGGGCTATCTGACAATACACAAGGGATTCAGAAAGGCAGTGATCACTTTTTTCTTTACCAGGTAAACCTTTAGGTCTCCCCACCCCTGAGTTGTTTTCAGGTCAAACTCTTAAATCTGAATCAATGCAGAAGGTTTAGAAAGGGCAACATTTCATTGTACATTTCAAAGTAAAGTAATACATACTCTGGGTAAACAGTTTCCATTGATGTCAGATTTTTTTTCCCTCCTTTTGACCCATCTTTAGACTGACTTTCTTTCCCTTATTATGCCCCCCTCCCCCCAAATTGCCTTAGCTCGTCACACCAGCATTCCTGACCCAGAAATGACATGCCTGTTAGATACCACAGTGGGGCCTATTTAACTGCCTCTAGGTTAAATCACTGATAATCTAGACTTTTGAGCTAGTTAGCTGCATACCACTGGAGTCATAGCATCTCACTATCTCCCAAAGTGAGTTCCACAGAACACACGTTCCAAAGATGCTCTTCCAAGTACAGGGTTCCGGGGTTAAAGCAGTTTGGGAAACATGGCCTCTGAGAAAGTTAGTGCAAATAAGCACCTCGAAGGTTCTAAATTAAATGTCCCGCGGAAGGGAAGAAGCACACCACGGATGTCATTTCAGTGAGGGTGGTGTTTTCCAGATTAATCTGACCACAGAAGCTTTTTTGAGTAACACTCAGTAACATTCCAAGGAGCTCCTGTTCCATAGGACCTACTTTGGGAAATTTTGATAGATGGAGATATGACTGTTTTTTCATCCACTGTGGTATGACTCTTTGGATTTGTAGTACAATTTATAATTTAAAAGTGCCAGTCCTTTGGAGTAAGAGGCTGAGCTGTTCATGACAGCAGTTTTAAGAAAAAGCATCATTTACTATGGCCATCAGCAGCCCAGCAATCCTACCTGAAGCCCCAACGGTTGTCTCTCTTCTATGTGAATACTCAGCGAGAGCCTTTACCATCCAGTGTGAATCAAAATAAGTATTTTTACATTTCATCATTATTGGAAGTAAAAAAAATATTTAAAATAATAGAAAATGAGAGGGAAATTATAAACTATTAACACATACTTACTCTGTTCTGTTCTTCTTTCCAG